TTGGAAGCGTTCTCTTTGCTGCCTATTTCGTGAAAACTGGAGGAACCTCAGAGGCAGAGTGAAAGCTTTGGTCCTGAAAAGCAACAGCTACTCCCCACCCCCCCCATGAATAAAAGCTGTCATCCTCCAGTGGGCCAAGGTGTTGGATTCACCCGTCTTTCAGTTTCAGAGTCCGAAGGACAAAAAACAAGAGACCAAGAAAGATTTTTACAGTGTTAGATATGAAGGGGGAAACACACACACACACAGACACACACATACAAATAACTTGTTGTGGTTCAATTTAGCGGCGAGCTTTGTAACCTAGCCAAAGGAATGCAAATGTAGAGTCCCCAAAGTATAAACTCCATGCATCCAAAAGAAATCATCAAGCTATTTGTTTGTAGAGTGTGTGAAAGACATTGCGTTACTAAACACACAAACTTCTGGCTTACCTCGTGGTGAACAAGACAGATCTGTGGTCCCGTGTGGCTTCTACTCAAACACAGGAGGCAGGGATTAAACAAGTAAAACAACCCAAATAGCCACGAACGACTCCTTTGTGCAAGGCCTGAGGCAGAGGAGTTGGATGCTGTGCAGAAAATGACGGAGTGGATGAAGAGGTAAGCAAATGGATTGGAGAGTGGGGGTCCCTATGATGAGGGGGTAATGGAGTGAAGAACCCCTTCCAGGGGTCACACGGGGGAAGTCTAGATGGGCCTGAGACTGACCCCTCAGCCGTAAGGGGGCACAGAATGGTGAAACAAAGAGGGGAGCAAAGAGACCCACCGGCGGCCTCGGTTGTCAGAAGAGCCAATGTGCTCCACGAGACGGGTTGACACAGTGGCCGCAACAATGGCTCACGCATCGGCTCAATTGTGAGGTTGGCACAAGACTGGGCAGTGTTTCATTCTGCTGGGCACAGGGTCACTAAGGGTCAGAATCACCTCGAGGGCAGCTGACCACAATAGAATATCTGAAAAGCTTAATAAAGTTAAGCCCATGTGCAACAGAAGTCGGGGATCCAGGAATTGATGGAGGAGGGAAAGAAAGCACCACAGGAAGGACAGACTTTCAAGAACGGACTGAGAAAATCTTCAATAACAACTGAAATCAATGGAAAGAATGAGTCCAATGGACAAGTGGACCACACAAACATCAACCTTCATGACCCCGAGACCAGAAGAACTAGATGGTGCCCAATCACCACTACCAACTGCTCCGAAAGGGATCCAAGTAGAAGGTCCTTAATAGAAAGGGAACAAAACGCAGAACAACATCCAAAATCATAAAGAAGACTAGGCTGCATGGTCCCAGAGAGGCTGGTGGAACTCCTGAGCTTATGGCTTTCAGTCACCCTTCAGGTTTGGAAATGAGCTCAAGCCCATCATTCAACTTTCAGCTAAACAGTAGATAGGTTTATAAGAAGAACAGCCAAACTAGGGAGGTATGCACACCTTAGAATAATCAGTCATTTGAGACCAAAGGGCCTATTGTGCCTTAGTGTTAGGCCTAGAACCACAAGGCTGGTGGTTCGAACTGGCCCGGTACTGGGTGGGATAAAGATGAGGTTTTCTGCTTACGTGAAGATTTACTGCCTCAGAAACCCCCAGGACAGTTCTACCCAGTCGTAGAGGTGGCTATGAGCTAAAATGGACTCAATGATAATGAGTTTGGGTTTGTTTTCAGAGATCAAAGGGCAGCATCTACTCAAGGATACAATTCAGAGGGATTAGGAAGGGAGGAGACATGGAAAGACAAGGAGGAAGTGGGATAAGTGAATCTAACACTGTCAGGATTGTAATGAATGAGATGAAAAAAATGTGTGTGAATTGTTCAATGGGAAAATTATTTGCTCTATAGACAATCACCCAATTCATAATTGAAAAAAATTCATAG